GTAAAACCCTTGAACTTCTGCTTCAAGTGATCCATCCCTATTTGTAACGACGGGTGCTTTTCTGAAGGGTTATTCAAACTGGTATTAAAGTATGAAGCCAGACTAGATCTGATGGAAATGCACTTGTCTAAATTTCATCTTTCAAATTCAGCATAAAACTGATTTCTTGACAAGCTGTGCCTTTATTGGCCTTAATGGTGTGAGCTGAATAGGGTCGTTGGTTTTGCCAAATTCTGAAATGAGTCATTATTTCCTATTATATCGTATTTTTTCTCATCCATTTTAATTGCATGCAGTATTTATCTTTCTGTCTTGAATCATGGGGGTGTGCTATTAAATAGCTGCTGATCTTTATTAGCCCAGTTTTGGTGGTGAGCAGTGTGGTTGCTTAATACTCTCTTCTTACCTCTTAATGGAGTTGTGTAGTTTTCCTTGGTGTTTTCAAAGCAATTTGAAAAATTTATATAGTAGGTGGGATAAAAGGCCAGAAGATGCTTATTTTTTCCTCCTTTGATTGCTGAGAGCCTCACTTAAGAAAAAAATCAAGTGACTCTGAGTCACACAGTCATCAGGACATATATATATGGCCACTAATATTTTTGGATGCAGAAAAAATGCCCTCAGCACTTTGCTGAACAAACTGCTGATATACAGCAGCTGTTCCTTTGTTAAGCCAAATACTAATATCGTGTTACTTACATCAGTCATTTTTTGGATGTGTGGTTTTCAAGAAAGACCAAAACAAAAATAGCATTTGAATTGCAAGCTTAGAAATTGTGCAGTTTTACAGAGACTTCAGAGCTGACAAAAGAAGGGGTTTTATCATGTGGCAAATGTTAGTAGTCCAAGTGCATAAAATGTATGTTATATAAATAATGCAGCAGTATAGTTCGGCATATTCTCTCTGCTTTCTGCAAAGGAGCCTGAAGCATTTTCTTGACCCAAATCGTACACGAAAATCAAAGGAATAACTCTTCTGCTGCTCTTAAAAGTAAAAAGAGCTGTAAAGAAAGTCTCGGCTTTGAGAATACCACTGTTTCTTTTTATTCGAGAAGACAATAAAGCGTTTGAAAATATATTTAATCTGCTGTATGCTTAACTGTGATGCTGGTTCACACAGGATTGTTTAAAAGGGAAAGTGAAGGCGATCCTCTTCCCACACCTCTGCAGCAAACAGATGACTGCAAGAGTAAACATTGGCTGACTTAAACCAACATTGCTTCAGATATCTCCTGCTACAAATGTTGAATTAATAGGGTGGTGAATGCTCTGAGAAAATCAACAATGATGCTTGTTGCTGTTGTGGTTCATTTTTATTTATTTTATTTTATTAGACAACTGCTTTCCGTTATAAATAAATAAGGCATGAAGGTTCTCCATACTATTACAGAGCTGGTAGCCACAGTCGTGTGTATGGCTCCTAACGTTTCTCGAGTTT